TTATGTAAAAGTCAATTGAGAATACAGCAAGGTCAATAAAAATAGCTCAATAGCTCAAACAAGAGATGTAAATGGGAGTCAATACATTGGTCTACGCGTTTCGTGGAAAAACCCACTTCCTCAGGACCCTTAGGACCTCAACTATGTCCGTATTGTCTAATAATGATGTCCACAGTACTGTAATTAAACAAAACACAAGAAAGTATACCATAGATGCAATATACATAATAGTACATAATAAAATCTGTCCTCCAAACCCCCCCCCCCCCCCAAAACCACAAATAACCCCCCCCCCCCTACCAGCCCCACGCTGTAGATGCAGTCGAAGGATGGGGGAAGCACACATAGAACCCCACCCAACCTGTGGGGGGACCCTCAAGCATGTCACGAACACTATAAAGTGGAGGGAGAGGAGGATTTTAAAAGTAAGCTCCCACGCCTAGGCAAGGATGATGTCCCCCACCCTGCCCAATGTGTCCTGCGATTCTGACATCACCTAAGAGGCTTCAGGTCCATCTCCACCACACTGCACGTCCATCGCGAATTCTGCATCGCCATGTTTAATCAGGGGGTCAGCTCAAAGGATCTAGAAAAGACAGCTGACCTCTTGATGATGTCAGTGGAGAAGATGGCAACATGGGACCTGGAGTGCTGAGATGAAGTGGTGACTGACACTAGACAACGCTGGACTTGATAACAGGACAACGTAGCTATCAAGGTAATGGAGGTAGAAAAACAAATTGCTCTTTAAGCACAATAAACATTTTATCAGGACCCAGATCTGAACCTGCGACCTTTGTGGTGTCTGGCTGTGACTCTTCTCACTTTGCCACCTGAGATGGTGGACAGCTCCATAGTTGATCTCTTAGGACAGGCTTGTCTCTTTTTTCTGGTGAACCTTGAACTCTTTGCTCCTCTTATGAACTTTCTTATTTTATCTCAGCATTTTGTTTGCCAGATTATTGTGCTCTCTCCAGCTGATATCTTGCTCCTTTGCGTACCAGCAGCTGTCCTTATCTCCACTACCACTTTTTACCTACTTTTGACTTGTTCTTCGACTATGTTTCCGCTTGATTCCAACCTGCAACCACTTGTTACCAACCTTTGACTTGTTTACTGATAACATTTCTTGATCCCTACCTGCTATATCTGCTACTGGACCCCAGCTTGCTCACCTCCAAGTGGGGAGATCCTGAGGACTCCAGGAACAGCTCTTGCAAGGTGCTCTACAGTAAATTGGACATGCATTGTAGTTGTAGTTGACTCTTTGTTGCGTTGTAGTTGACTCTTCTCCTCACCAGTGGCCCACACACCCAGGCGCAACATCGAAAGGCCCAGCACCTGGTGAAAGCTCATGTGCCCAGCCAGTGGGCGTGATCTCTCTGAACACAGGAGGGCAAAAAGTATTGGAATTTATATCTGTTGGGTGTTTCAAGTAGTCCAGCAGATGATGGGAATCCATGGGATTGTGGGAAACAGTTAAAGAAGTTCATGTAGTTGACTCTTTGTTGCGTTGTAGTTGACTCTTCTCACCAGTGGCCCACACACCCAGGCGCAACATTGAAAGGCCCAGCACCTGGTGAAAGCTCATGTGCCCAGCCAGTGGGCGTGATCTCTCTGAACACAGGAGAGCAAAAAGTATTGGAATTTATATCTGCTGGGTGTTTCAAGTAGTCCAGCAGATGATGGGAATCCATGGTATTGTGGGAAATAGTTAAACAAGTTCATGTAGTTGACTCTTTGTTGCGTTGTAGTTGACTCTTCTCCTCACCAGTGGCCCACACGCCCAGAAGCAACATCAAAAGGCCCAGCACCTGGTGAAAATTCATGTGCCCAGCCAGTGGGCGTGATCTCTCTGAACACAGGAGGGCAAAAAGTACTGGAATTTATATCTGTTGGGCATTTCAAATAGTCCAGTAGATGATGGGAAACCATGGGATTGTGGGAAACAGTTAAAGAAGTTCATGTAGTTGACTTTTTGTTGCGTTGTAGTTGACTCCTCTCACCAGTGCCCCACACGTCCAGGAGCAACATCGAAAAAGAGCCTTTTTCGATGTTGCACCTGGTGAAAGTTCATGTGCCAAGCCAGTGGGCGTGATCTCTCCGAACACAGAAGGGCAAAAAGTACTGAAATTTATATCTGCTGAGCTTTTCAAGTACTCCAGTAGATGATGGGAACCCATGGGATTGTGGGAAACAGTTAAAGAAGTTCATGTCTACCACTGAGGAAAGCAATAAAATGAGCTACACTACAGATCTTTCCATTAACATAACACATTTTTAATTTTTTGAGTTCAAGTCCACTCTGAAATGAAATTAAAGCCTACTTTTTTAGCAATTTCTCCTACAAAGGTAAAGAGTTGTTCTTTCTTGCTGCTTCAGCTGGTGCCTTCAGTGCTAACCCCGCTTTCTGATTCAGAGTGGCACCTTCCCCTTGCAAGGTCCTATGGAGTCACTGTTGAGTGAGCGCTACCAGCCACTACTGAATCCGAATATCCTGGGTCCACATAAACACACAGCCCCATAGCCCCTCCCCTGCTTCCACCTCCTCCAAGCTACGGAGTGGTATAGAAAAATGTTTGAAACTAATTTTGTAACACGCCAACAGATAGCAGCACAAGACTGCACATACAGTCACAGGGAGCACCGACCTTTATAAGTCAGTGCGCCAAAAGACCGTCCTGTGTACATTGAGAGCTGTGCAACTGGTGCTATTCTGACCAGATGAGTTACCACGTCTGCGATTTCATCATGGACAGAAAATTAGAACAAAGAGCAAACATGATATCTGCTGCGTAAAACTGGGAAAATCTGCCACAGAGACATTCGACATGATTCAGCAAGTTTACGGCAATGCTGCAATGAGTCGTTTAGGGTGTTTTGAGTGGCAAGCAGGGGTGTATTTACCACAATGAAAACAAGGCACTTGCCTAGGGCGGCATTTTTCAGGAGGGCAGCACCTCCCCCCAGAAGAAGGGATGAAAGAAGTGGTACGTACACCATGTGAACTAGGTGGGAGTGGGATCCGAGAGAGGCAGCAGACTGCTTGATGGTGTATGTGGAGCCTGGTTCTCGTTCCCAGGGATATCCGGAGCTGTGAAGACGAGTGACTGTCTACCCTGGGGGTGGGGTGGGGGAGTGGAAGGCTGTTCCGGGTGGGGGGCATGGATATTTTTGGTCAATGTCAGGCTCTCTCCGCAGAAAAGGGAAGGGGAGGTTGTGTTGGTCGGTGTCCGTGGGGGCAGACAATTTTTGTTGTGCCTAGGGCAGCACAAAACCTAAACACACCACTAGTGGCAAGCACGCTTCAAGAGCTGAAGAACATCACTGGAAAACGATGAGAGATCAGGAAAACCTTCAATGAGCTAGACCCCCGAAAATGCTCTCTTCCCGAAGATCCAGCTCAAAGGTCACTGTTTAGACAACATTGCGGAGATCCAGCAATTTGCATAGTTTCACCCAGAATTTCACGTTTGCTCTTTGTTGTAACTGTCCATGATGAAATAGCAGGCGTGGTAATGCACGTGGTCAGAATAGCACCAGTTGCACAGCTCCCGATGCACACAGGGCGATGTGCTGCCATCTGTTGGCGTGTTACAGAACTAGTCTTGAAACGTTTTGATACCACCTCGTAGTTGATGGACAGCTACTGCTGTGTTGTCCCTTATAAAGTACGCCATTTACGTGCTCCTCAGCAGGAGGTTTGGGGAAGCTGAGCTGGGTGATCTTGAGCCAGGGCATTGCAGATTTAAAGATGTAAGTGCATAGGGAATGTATTTGGTAAAAATAATGTACTGGGGAATGTTTTCCTGGTGGATGGCAATGTACTGGTTCCACTTTAAGTACTTAAGAGAATGGAAACCTGGGGACAAGAAAAGTCCCAACCACTTTCATTGCTATGCTACAAGTCCCACAACACCGCAGTCTAGGTCAGAGGTGTCAAACTGGTGGTCCTCCAGCTGTTGCGAAACTCCAAGACCCATCATGCCTCTGCCTTTGGGAGCCATGCTTGTAAGTGCCAATTTTGCAATGCCTCATGGGGCTTGTAGTTTGGCAACAGCTTGACACCCCTGGTCTAGCTGGTCGGGGGCAACCCAGGTCCTTTAGGACCCCAGTGACACCCCTGATGTGGGGGAAAATGATGATCCATTTAGTTTTGGAAAATTAAAGACAAGAAATTCCAGGGATAAATCTTCCTTCACATCAAAGACCCCCAGGGCAGCTCTGACCTTTTCAAATTTGAATCTGTTTGCCTGCAGATTTATGACATTTAAAGAGTACTATATTGTTTTTGGTGGAAAGCCAACGACAACGTCGCCGACACACCTAAATCCAAGAGAAAGTGGTCAACACCTCCATGAATACCCTTCGTCACCTGTCACTAGAGGCTGAGCGGAGATCCCGTCTTGTTTTATTGTATAATGAAATGCAAAGGGAGATGCTGACATCCTTATTATTATACAGGATTTATATAGCGCCAACAGTTTGCGCAGCGCTGTACAAAATGAAGGTAGACATCACAGTTACAATACAATTTGGTACAAGAGGAAGCAGAGGGCCCGGCTCGTCAGAGCTCACAATCTAGGAGGAAGGGTTGAGTGATATAAAAGGTAACAGCTGTGGGGGATGAGCTGATGGAGGAAATAAAAAGCAGTTTACTAGTTAGAAGCAGGATAGACTTCTTTAACCAGTTCCGTACCGGCCTATAGCAGAAATACTGCTACAGGGTGGCACGGCTGTGCAAAATCACCTATAAATAGGTAATTTTGCCATTCCGGATAGGGGGCGTGCGTGTGCTGCTCGAATGCCCTACCCGTGCCACCATTCACGGCCTCAGCTGTCACTCACCGGGTCCCAGCCGGTGATTAATCGCTGGCACCCGGTGATCGCGTACCCTACCTGTGCCACCATTTACAGCCTCAGCTGACAATCACCGGGTCCCGGCCAGTGATTACTCGCCGGCACCCGGTGATCGCCCAGTATCTCCGACTGTTGAGAGACCTGTGTATAAACAACACACATCTCTCCCGTTAGCTCCTGCACACTGCTTTGTATGGCTCTGCATAGCACAACCATACAAAGCAGTGTGCTTACAGTGAAACACACACACAGCCCCCCATAGTAAAACAGCACACAGTTAACCCTTTGACCGCCCTAGATGTTAACCCCTTCCTGCCCAGTGCCATTAGTAGTGTCAGTGCTTTTTATTAGCACTGAACACTGTATTGTTGTCACTGGGGAAGTCAGTGACACCAAGTCAGTTCCCCCCAGTGTCAGAATGCCCGCCGCATTTTTTTTAAAAAACTATATATTTTTTTAATTAAATTCTTCAGATTTTTGTAATTCTAACATATATTTTTACATATATTTGTAAATGCAGTCCAAAAATGTAGATTTGTAATTTTAAAGACATACAGTATATTTTGAAATGTATTTTTAAATATATTTTTCATATATTTTTTTAATAAAAACCCATTTCAATATGCAGTGTGTATATATTTATATACATATACAGTTGCAAGAAAAAGTATGTGAACCCCTTGGGATTACGTGGAGTTTTGCATGAATTGGGCATAAAATGTGCTCTGAACGTCATCTAAGTCACAACAATAGAAGAACACAGTCTGCTGAACATAATACTACACAAACATTAGATGTTGCCATGGTTTAATTGTACATAACATGTAAACATTCACAGTGCAGGGAGGAAAAAGTATGTGAACCTTTGGACTTAATAACTGGTTGACCCTCCTTTGGCAGCAATAACCTCAACCAAACGTTTCCTGTAGTTGCAGATCAGACCTGCACAATGTTCTGGAGTAATTTTGGAGCACTCCTCTTCACAAAACTGTTTCAGTGTAGCAATATTCTTGGGATGTCTGGTGTGAATCGCTCTCTTAAGGTCATGCCACAGCATTTCAATCAGGTTGAGGTCAGGACTCTGACTGGGCCACTCCAGAAGGCGTATTCTGTGCTGTTGCAGCCATTGTTTTGTTGAATTACTTGTATGCTTTGGATCATTGTCCTGTTGCATCACCCATCCTCTGCGGAGCTTCAGTTGGCGGACAGATGGTCGTACGTTTTCCTGCAAAATGTCTTGATAAACGCTGGAATTAATTTTCCCATCAATGACAACAATCCGTCCAGGCCCTGAGGCAGCAAAGCAGCCCCAAACCATGATGCTCCCTCCGCCATGTTTCACAGTGGGGATGAGGTTTTGATGTTGGTGTGCTGTGCCTTTTTTTCTCCACACATAGTGGTGTGTGTTCTTCCCAAACAACTCAATCTTGGTTTCATCTGTCCACAGTATATTTTGCCAGTAGTGCTGTGGAACATCCAGGTTCTCTTTTGCAAACTTCAAACGTGCTGCAATCTTCTTTTTGGACAGCAATGGCTTCCTCCGTGGTGTCCTCCCATGTACTCCATTCTTGTTTAATGTTTTCCTTACTGTAGATGTGTCAACAAAACTGTTAGCATGTGCCAGAGATTTCTGTAGGTCTTTAGCTGACACTCTGGGATTCTTCTTTACCTCATGCAGCATTCTGCGCTGTGCTCTTGCAGTCATTTTTACAGGACGACCTCACCTAGGGAGAGTAACAACAGTGCTAAACTTTCTCCATTTGTAGACAGTCTGTCTTACCGTGGACACATGAACATCAAGGCTTTTGGAGATACTTTTGTAACCCATTCCAGCTTCATGCAAGTCAACAATTCTTGATCGTAGGTCTTCTGAGAGCTCTTTTCTGCGAGGCATGGTTCACATCACACAGTGCTTCTTGAAACCAGTAAACCCAAAACAGGTGTGTGTTTTTTAAGGGCAGGACAGCTGTCAGCAACACATCCAATATCATAACACTGATTGGAGTCAAGGTTGGCTCACTCCTGGCTCCAATTAGTTCTGGGAGAAGTCATTAAGCTAGGGCCTCACATACTTTTTCCTCCCTGCACTGTGAATGTTTACATGTTATGTGCAATTAAACCATGGCAACATCTAATGTTTGTGTAGTATTATGTTCAGGAGACTGTGTTCTTCTATTGTTGTGACTTAGATGACGTTCAGAGCACAATTTATGCCCAATTCATGCAAAACTCCACGTAATCCCAAGGGGTTCACATACTTTTTCTTGCAACTGTATATATATATATATATATATATACACATACATACACACACTGCATATATATACCCACATAGAAGAAAAATATATTTGAAATGTATTTTTTAAAAATTTTGAAATGCTACAATTTTGGCCGTATTCAATATATTTCAAAATATATATATATATATATATATATATATATATATATATATATATATATATATTTATATACTGTATGTTGAAATGCATTTTTTTATATATTACCAAATATATGAAAAATATTTTCATATATTTTCAAACTATATTTCACTGAATATATATATATTATTTGAAATATATTTTGAAGATATATGAAAATATTTTCATATACAGTATTTGGTAATATATAAAAAATGCATTTCAACATGAAGTATATATATATATATATATATATTTATTGAAATATATTTTGAAATATATTGAATACGGCCAAAATTGTAGCATTATAAAATATTTTAAAAATACATTTCAAATATATTTTTCTTCCATGTGGGTATATGAGTATCTGAAATAAATAATAAAATAAAAATCTGCATCAAAAAGGTGCAGGACCCTCTTTTAAATCTGCACCTGAGTCGCAAAGTATGGGTGTTCTGACCCATGCGGTGCGAATTCTGGCAATTGCATTGCGTTTTATAATTTGTTTCGGGGTGCCATCAATTTATCATTCACTCCCGCACCAGATCGCATGAACGCAATGCGGTGTGGGAAACGCACAGAATCGCAGCATTTCCTGCACCGCATTGGGGTGAGCCGGGTCTTAATGTGACATGCAAAATCTGCCTATGGTTGTGATTTGTCTTACAAATTTTATAATATATATATATATATATATATATATATATATATTTTAGTCCATCATCTCTTAGATTGTAAGCTCCAAGGATCAGGCCCTCCTATCCCTCTTGTATTGAACTGTATTGTTGCTGTATTGTCTCCCGTTATATTGTAAAGCAGCGAGTAAACTGTTGGCGCTATATAAATCCTGTATAATAATAATAATTTAAAAGAACGCACATTTTCACACTGAATAACTGAATGTCGATGTCATTATGAGGGGTCCTGTGTATTTTCTTCTTGAAGTATTTTGCTTCTGTTTGTTGTTTTTAGTAACAGTTTGTAGATGGCGATCAGTTTTCATCCTTGAATAGTTTGATCCAATTACAGATAGACTGGCTAATGTATTTACACTGCCTTTCCCCTAATGACAGAGGCGGTGCGGTGTGTAATTATAGGATTGGTGTGCAGGAAATGCTGAAGATTGCATCTTTACACAAAGTCGCAGGACACGCTGGTAATTATGTTTACGTTACATCCACCTTACAGTTACAGTGCCTTGGAAAAAAGGATTTTTTTTGTGCTTCAAAAACAGCTCAGTTCCAATTACAGCGCCTTGAAAAAGTATTCATACCCCTTGAAATTTCCCCCATGTTGTCATGTGACAACCAAAAACGTAAATGTATTTTATTGGGATTTTATGTGAAAGACCAACACAAAGCCAAAGTGGAAGGAAAATGATAAATGGTTTTCAAAACGTTTTACAAATAAATATCTGAAAAGTGTGCCGTGCGTTTCTACTCAGCCCCCTTTACTCTGATACCCTTAACTAAAATCTAGTGGAACCAATTGCCTTCAGAAGTGACCTAATTAGTAAATACAGTCCACGGGTGAAAGGTGTGGCGTGCATTTGTATTCAGCCCCCCCGGAGTCAATACTTTGTAGGACGCCCTTTTCGCTGCAATTCCAGCTGCAAATCTTTTTGGGGATGTCTCTACCACCCATATGGAAGAAAAATATATTTTAAATATACTTCAATAAATATATATATATATATATATATATATATATGTATATATATATATACACACACATATATATATATTTATATACACATATATATTTACACACACACACACACATATATATATATATATATATATATATATATACACATATATATATATATACACACACATATACACACACACATATATATATACAGAAATATATTTAAAATATTATAATAATATATATATATATATATATATATATATATATATATATATACTGCGTGCTGAAATGCATTTTTCATATATTACAAAATATATGAATAATATTTTTTTTTTCATTTTTTGTTTAAATATATTCTTCGGATTTTTTTAACGTATAAAAAAGTAATTTTAACATATGTTTTTACATATCTTTGTAAATGCATTCCAAAAACATAGATTTGTATTTTTAAAGATATACTGTATATTTGAAATGTATTTTTAAAAATATTTTTCATACATTTTGTTATAAAAACGTATTTCAACATGTAGTATACCACAACCCTCCCCATCCCCTCTCCTAACACAACCCTCCTCCCAATCCCCTTTCCTAGCAAACCCCTCTCCCCCATCTCCCTCCTAATACAAATCCCCACAATCCCTTCTCCTAGCACAAATGCTCCCTCCCAGCATCAATTCTCTTCATTCGATCCCCCCCCCCCCATTTTAGCACAAATCTCCTCCACCACTCCCCTCCCCCCCGACCTACTCTTAGCACATATCCCCCTATTCCTTCACCTAGTACAAATTACCGCCCCCCCCCCCCCAATCATCCCCATTACCCTTCCCTTTTACTCCTTTGAGTGGCCATCTTCTTCTTTCCTACTAATAAAAAATCATTATGCTGCACTTAGATCTCTGGTGTTCTTTTATCTCTTTATAGCAGAACTATACTCCCTTTAGATTGTAAGCTCTCCTGGACAGGACCCTCCTAACCCTCCTGTATTGACTTGTATTGGACCTGTACCGTCAACCTTCATTTTTTTACGCTTTGCGCATACTGATGGCGTTATATACATTTCTGTATAATTTATAGAAACAATAATGTTCATCTCCCTTCCAACGATGTGACATGAGACAAGCTCCAGTACCAGCGCCAACATTTTCACACTGCCTCCTTCTGGGCTTAGGCAGGCCATCCACGGGCCAATATCGAATTCCGAATGAACTTTCTTTAGAAAATCGGAAATTTGGTGCGTTTTGTAATCCGATGGCGCCACCATTGATTTGGAAATTCGACCAAACGAGCCTTTTATTCCCCCCTCATGTTGCTACAGAAAATAATTTTCATGGCCAAGAATTATCTTTTCTTTCCAGGTCACAGCTCGTTTCTTTTTCGATGACATTTCTCGCAAGATTCTCTCATCATTGATTAAAAATTTGTTCATTTTTCAAAAAACTTCCAACAAGCCCGGTCACTCAAATTCGATGTCTGCCCAAAAATCAGCCGTCGCTGCAGTCCACTAACGGTGTGAAATTTGAACGAAAAGTCTTAGAAAAGATTTTCGAAAGAAAATTATTTTCGGAATTTGACCCGTGTATGGCCGACTTTAGGAATGCCGTAACTCCCCCCTCCTTCAATTTTTGAATTTTTTTGGGGGGGGGGCGGGGGGGGGGGGGGAGGGGTAGGTACCTGCTTTTGCCAGATACCTTCTCCGACTTCCACCCAGAAGGTGATCCCCTGCAACCACTTTCCCCCTGCAACCACTTTCCCCCCGCCCCCGCAAAACTGAAGTTTTGTTCCTCCCCTTCACCCTGCAGCCTCTTTAGACACATCACAGGTCCCACCAGAAGGCTGCGGGGCCATTCACTCAGTGCATGCACAGTGGGAAGCCGGCTGTGAAGCTGCAAGGAGTCACAGCCGGCTTCCCACAGTTAGCATGGCGGCGCCGGGGTTCTGAAGAGCAGCAAAGAACCAGCCGGTGTGAGGACAGTGCTGGATCCTGGGACAGGTAAGTGTCCTTTTATTAACCGTTTGCTGTCCGCCCTATAGCAAAAGTATGTTACAGGGCAGCACGGGTGCACAAAATCACGTATATATACGAGATTTTGCATTTCTAGATAGGGGGCGCGCGAGCGCCCTGCCCGCGCCACCATTGCGGCCACGGCTGTCAGTTACCAGGTTCTGCCCGGTGATTACTCGCCGGCGCCCAGTGATTGCCGAGCATCTCTGATGGGGGGGGAGACCTGTTTGCAAACAATACAGATCTCTCCCCTGTCAGCTCCTGCACACTGCCCTGCATGGCTCTGCATAGCACAGCCATACAAAAGCAGTGTGCTTACAGTGTAAAGCACACACAGCACACAGTTAACCCTTTGATCGCCCCACATGTTAACCCCGTCCTGCCCAGTATCATTAGTACAGTGTCAGTGCTTTTTATTAGCACTGATCACTGTATTGGTGTCACTGGGGATGACAGGGACACCAAGTCAGTTTCCCCCCACCTAGTGTCAGAATGCCCGCTGCAGTCCCACTATAAGTCGCTGATCACCATCATTACTAGTAAAAAAATATAAAAATTCCAGTATATATGCCGCCATTTGTAAACACTAGAACTTTCAACTTTTTTTTTTCATTACACATATTGGGATTTTTTTTTTTAGCAAAGACATGGAGCGGAATACATTTATAAAAAAAAAAAATTAAAAATCTAATTTTGTCAGAAATTTAGGCCAAACTAAATTTTTGACGAAATTTGATTTTTTTTTTTTTTTTTTACTCGACATGTTTAATAGCAAAATGTCAAAAATAATGTTTTTGTTTTTCTCAAAAATTGTCGGTCTATTTTTTTAATTTTAGCACAAAAAATTTAAAACGCACAGGCGATCAAATACCAGCAAAATAAAGCTCTATTCGTGGGAAAAAAAGGACGTAAATTTAATTTGGGTGCAGCGTTGCATGACCGCGCAATTGTCAGTTAAGATAACGCAGTGCCGTATCGCAAAAAATGGTGTGGTCAGGAAGGGAGGTAAAGTGGTTAAAGAGGAGGGTTTTCAGGGATCCCCTAAAGGTGGATAGATTAGGAGATAGTCGGACAGATTGGGGTAGGGAGTTGCATAGGATGGGAGAAGCTCTGGAGAAGTCCTGGAGATGAGCATCGTAGACACTATAACGTTCACGTGAACAAATTAATTTACTTATATGTATTATTGGGATTTTTTTTCAGCAAAGACATGTAGCAGAATACGTTTTATGATGAAATTAAATTTTAAAAATTTTTTACTGGACATGTTTATTAGCAAAAACTTTTTTTTTTTTTTAAATTGTTGGTCTTTTTTTGTTTATAGCACAAAAAAAAAAAAGAAAGAGCAGAGACGATCAAATACCACTGAAAGCAAGCTCTATTCATGGGAAAGAAAGGATGTAAATTTCATGTGGGTGCAGCGTTGCATGACCGCGCAATTGTCAGTTAAAGTGCCTCAGCGCCGTATCGCAAAAAATGGCCTGGTCAGGAAGGGCGGTAAAGTGGTTAAAGAGGAGGGTTTTCAGGGATCCTCTAAAGGTGGATAGATTAGGAGATAGTCGGACAGATTGGGGTAGGGAGTTGCATAGGATGGGAGAAGCTCGGGAGAAGTCCTGGAGGCGAGCATTGTAGATGCTATAACGTTCACGTAAACAAATTAATTTACTTGGCCTGGTCAGAAAGGGGGTAAATCCTCAGGAGGGCAAGTAAGTCAGCAGTTCCAGTATTTTTTTTTTTGGGGGGGGAACTGAAGAACCTCTTTAATTCATCCCGGCACCGAGCAGATTCCGGGTGCGCAGCTCAGTGTACAGCAGGGGCAGACTGACCATTTGGAAACTCGGGCACTGCCCGAGGGCCCGGGGTCAGTAGGGGGCCCCATAAGATGCCCCTGGTACTTTTTTCATAGGCTTTTTTGAGTTTGGGCAAAGACACAGGGGACCCATGATCGCCTATTGCCCGGGGGCCCCATGAGTTGTCAGTGCGCCCCTGGTGTACAGATTAGGCAAGGAAGAAGGTAAGAAGCCTTTGTTGCAGTAGAGAGGTAGGCAGGGGCGGACTGACAACTCATGGGACCCCCGGGCAATAGGGGTTCATGGGGCCCCATGTCCTTGCCCAAATTCAAAAAAAGTCTATGAAAAAGGTACCAGGGGCATCTCATGGGGCCCCCTACTGACCCCGGGCCCTCGGGCAGTGCCCAAGTTTCCAAATGGTCAGTCCGCCCCTGGAGATAGGGGTCTTTGTATACAAAACGATGTGTCAATCATTCACACAGGCACAAGGTATCTTCCTACGTTTATTTCCCCGGATCGTCGGGCCATCTAGTGGCCGTAATGCCGTATTTTCTACAAGTGAGTCATTTCAGGAAAATACGGCATTACGGCCACTAGATGGCCCGACGATCCGGGGAAATAAACATGTTAGGCAATTTACGGAGATTTGTCGCACCTGTGTGGACGATTGACACATTTGCATTCCGAATCTTTTATACATAGTCCTCATAGAGCATCTCTTCAATAAATAAATATAAAAGGCTTTGCATATTTGACATTTTTATCACCAGAAATTCCCGAAATGACACTTCACAGTTTCTGTGCGCAGATCCTATAGGCGTCCCCGGATCCGATGACGGCACAGGTAAATGACTTGTCCTCATTTGCATGGGAAAGCCATGCAGCCGGTGCTGTAAATGATCCACCTACCTAAAGGTAATAATCTACACCGAAGAATCTGCCGGAGACTTTCTGCCCGGGGGCTGAATATTTAAAATCGGATTCAGGACTTCGTTAAAGCATCATGAAGTCGGGGATTGTAAATCACATTCACTGCTGAAGATTTTTCAATAGTTACTTGCAGCCTCTAGAGGGCGCCCTTGCGACAAGGTGACAACCTTGTGGCACAATTAGGAGACAGGAATAGGGTGTTGTCACCCAATAACGGGGATTGTTTAATCAAAGACTTTCCTGGCGGGATCAACGGGTATGAGTTCAATGAAAGCTACAAACTTGAAAATGGCTTCAGCTATATATAATATGTGAAAGGGCCAGTTCACACCACAAAAAACGCACTGCGGATGCGTTCCCCCGGCAGAGGCGGACTGACCATTTGGAAACTCGGGCACTGCCCGAGGGCCCGGGGTCAGTAGGGGGCCCCATGAGATGCCCCTGGTACCTTTTTCATAGACTTTTTTGAGTTTGGGCAAGGACACAGGGGCCCCATGATCCCCTATTGCCCGGGGGCCCCATGACTTGTCAGTCCGCCCCTGTTTCAAGGGTTCCTCTGTGTTGAAAAGGTTGAGAAAGGCTGGACTATACTGTGTTGCCACCAGGGGCGGACTGACCATTTGGAAACTCGGGCACTGCCCGAGGGCCCGGGGTCAGTAGGGGGCCCCATGAGATTCCCCTTGTACCTTTTTCATAGGCTTTTTTGAGTTTGGGCAAGGACACAGGGGCTCCATGATCCCCTATTACCCGGGGGCCCCATGAGTTGTCAGTCCGCCCCTGGGTAGGTGGTATGTGCCAAAGTAATATCTACATGAATGGTAGGACCCAAAGTTTTCCAGCAGAACACTGAACCCAGCCAATCAGCAGCTCCCGGCTATGAATCATTGGCTGGATTCATCTGAAATACTCCTGCTGTGCCAAATCGCAGGGGAGTAGACAGGCAGAGGCGTGCGTTTTTGGCGCGTTCAGTTTTGCGTTTTTGATGCGTTCCAGTGCATTTTTAATGTATTCCAGTTCATTTTTTCCCCCCTCCTTTTCTTCAATTTAAATTGGGACATGTGCGTTCCAGTGCATTTTTGTTCACACTATAGAAACGCAGTCTGGATGCTTTCTGGACGCGTGTTTGGCGTGTTCAGTTATGTTTTTGATGTGTTTCAGTGCGTTTTTGTTCACACTATATAAAACACAGTCCGGATGCTTTCCGGACCCATTTTTGTATGCGTGTTTTTGGTGCTTTCCAATGCATTTTTTATACGTTTTTGCAGGTTTTTCCCTCTTTTTCTTCAATTTAAATAGGGAAATGTGCATTTCAGTGCGTTTTTGATGCGTTTTACCACGTTCCAGTCCAGTTCTGTGCAGGAAAAATGCGGCCTGTTCTTTTTCTTTCTTTTTTCCAGCTGGAACGCACTGGAACTGCAAGCACTGATGTGAAATATGACATTGAAAACCACATCACCTGCTTTCTGTGCGTTTTTTGGATGCAAAAAAAAAAAGCAACTGAAACGCATGGAGTGTGAACTGGCCTTTAGGGCTGGTTCACACTATAGAAATGCAGTCTAGATGCCTTCCAGATGCACGCACGTTTTTGACACGTTTCAGTGCATTTTGGATGCGTTTTTGACGATGAGATGCCCCTGGTACCTTTTTCATAGGCTTTTTTGAGTTTGGGCAAGGACACAGGTTCCCCATGATCCCCTGTTGCCCGGGGGCCCCATGAGTTGTCAGTCTGCCCCGGATTCGCGGGTACGTTTTTGCTTACAGTTTGCACCACACTCACTTCCAGTGCAGTTTTGATGCAGTTTGCTATGTTCCAGTTTGGTTCTGTGCACAAAAAAATGCAGCATGTTCTACTTTTTTTTTCTGCATCAGAAACTGACTGCACTGGTGTGAACCAGGGCCATTGGAATACATGGGAAACACTGTGCAGGCATTTTTGATGAAAAAAAAAAATCTAGTGAGAACTACGCCTATGCAGGTTGCTTTTGATCTGTTTCTGCACTGCGTTTTGCGTCGCATTTTTTGCAGCGTTTTTGATGCGTTTTTCTTTTTTTTTTTCTTGTTGCTAGGCAGATTTAAATTCAAAATGCAGCAAAACGCACTACATGCGGCATGTCCATTGAAGTCTACAGAACCAAAAATGCAACTTTTTGTGTTAAAATAAGTCCCTGACCATTTCCAAAAAATGAAACGTGGAGATGTGAACTTGTCCCATAGGAAATCATGTTAAATGGACTGCTGTGCGTTTCTGAAATGCGGAAAATGCTTAGGTGTGATCCTGGGGTAACTCCAGCCAAGTCTAGGTTCACTGAATGGGGAAAGAACAAAAAGAGGGCGCACAGGCCTAGTGCATTACCATAAAAAATGTTTAATAAAAAATAAAGTAGGTGTTGTACTCACAAACGACAATATAGTCAAGGCACATCATAGAAGAACAGCTGGATCAACACTGCGCTGAGTAACAGTCCGCAATAGGGAGTTTATACATCCAAAAGCCTGACGCGTTTCGAGGACTTGCCTCTTCCTCAGAGCCAACTGACCAAATGTCTGCTCCCTCTTTTATATGCTCACTACTAGTTAAACCAAAGGTCACATGGGCCGTCCTGGACACTCCCCTGTGCAGGTGGAGGAGTCACAGGGGCAATCGACCTAGTGTAAGTAAACACGAAAGGTCTATAAAAAATATATATATATATATATGTGTATAAATAAAACCATTGAAACTAGTGACAATCATAAAATCATATGAACCATAAGAAGTGTGCACAGTGAAAAATGAATAAATAAATGGAAAGTT